GGAGGAGGTGGAGGAGGAGGAGGAAGAGGAGGAAGAGGAGGAGGAGGAGATGGAGGAGGAGGAGGAGGCGGAGCAGTAGGAGGAGGAGCAGTAGGAGGAGGAGGAGGAAGAGGAGGAGTAGTAGTAGGAGGAGGAGGAGCAATAGGAGGCGGAGGAGGAGGCGGCGGAGGAAGAGGACGACGACGTCTTCCTCTCGACCTCCTGGGCATGTTGTCGGACCCCGGGGATCGGACGGGGCTAGGACGAGGAAAAACCCGTGCCAGATCGTTCCGGAACGCTCTCAGAGCGCTCTGGAACGCTCCGAGAAGGCCGCGGCGCCCGAGACATCCTCCACCCGGATCTCAGAGATTTACCCTCACCCGATTTATCCTCGTCCTGGCTTCGTCTTAGGGGGCCATGTAAGAACGGCGCCGGGTGCGCAAAGCTACCCTGGGGAAGAGGTTGTGAGCCCTGGGGCCGCCGACAGAAGGGAGCGGAGAGAGAGAGAGAGAGAGAGAGAGAGAGAGAAAAAGAAAAGAGGCGGGAGAAGGGGGGGGGCTGGAGGGAAGGAATGTCGGAGGAGGGAGAAAGATGAGGCGGGAGGTGGAGGAGGAGGAAAGGGATGAGAGGAAGGAGAAGAAGACGATGAGGCATCCTCACGCCTGCCCTTCGCGCCCCTTCCTCACCCTTCCTTCTCCCCCCTCCTCTTCGTCCCCGCCTCCCTCCTCCATCCTCCCTCCTCTCTCCTCCCTGCTCCCTGCTCCCTGCTCCCTGCACTGTCTCCCTCATCCCTCTCCTACACCACTTCGCTTGCTGATCCCATGTGTGACTGCCCCGCGACCTTGCCGTCCACTCACAGTCTTCAGGCGCGGAACCACCACCCCATGACGGCGGGGACTGCAAGGCTCCCTGGATTCCGTTTCCCTATCCCGCCCGGAGCCCCGAACAAAAAGAAGAAACACTACAAAATCCTGGAACATTGGGGAGGATGAGGAGCAGGAGCTGCCATACCTGTCTGAACTATTTTTCTCACTCTCTCCTCCGCCCACCCTCTAAACCTCTGTGTCGTGGTTCACCAGAAGGGTTTCCAACGTATCTTTCGGCTCCTGTTTTGCCGTGCTATGGCTCGACCTCCTTTCGGTAGCCACCAGTTGTCGTGCGCTCGATTTCCAGTTATTGAATTTTACTCTGTGCGATCTCGCTGTGTGGGTCGCTGGGAGGATCGCCACCTCCCTGGCATAGCAGATGCCAGTGAGCGTGAGTAAACGGGTGGTTTTCCTGCTTCCCTCGCTCGCCAAGCCAGCTCGGGTGCCTCATGGGCGGCACCTGGTGGCCTGCTCAGTCCCGTCTGCTGTCCGCGGCAGGTGCAAGGACTCGACACCTTGAAGCATGCCCAGGCGTTTCCAACTTAGCTGCGCCTGGTGAGTCAGCAAGCGACGCGAGGGTGCTGGCGGATAACGAGTGTCACGTGGGCCTCAGTGAGGTAGCGTTCCAGGCTGCTGTCGGTCTGCTCGTCGCGCGGGGTACGGGGCGCTTGCTTTTCGGGCAGGATATGTACCGCGGCACCTGCTGGCCCGATCATCTGTTTGGCGCAACCTTGCGGCAAGGGCGCCCTCAAGGGCGCGAAGTTGTTCGCGCTCCGCGGTTCTACCCGATTCCTCCTCTTCTCCCCTGGGGGGCGGCGCGAGAGCGCGAAGTTATCCGCGCTTCGCGCAGCGCGAAGCGCGAAGTTAGAAGCCCTTGTTGCGACCTCTCCTTTTCCATCTCCTTCTAATTAAACTTCCTCCTCTCCCTCGAACTCCACCCCCGCCTCCATCCAGCCTCCTCCCCCGCTCCCACCTTCACCTTGCAATTCCTTTTCCCTCCCTCTCTCTCTGTTTATACCTCTTCCTCTCTCTTTCTCTCTCGCTCCCTCTCTCTCCCTCTTTCTCTCTCTCTCTCTCTCTCCCTCTCTTTCCCTCTCTTCATCTCTCTCTCTCTCTTTCTCCATACCTCTCTTTTTGTCTTTGTCTCTCTATCTCCCTTTCTCTCTCTTTCTTTGTTTCTGTGTAGTATATCGATAGCTGCATTCCCGAAAGAGTGCTTGCACTCAGGGGATCTAGCTTGGTTTGCTAAAGTAATTCGGTGGGTGTGCCGGGGTTTGGCCGCGTTACCCCCGTGCAGTCTCATGGGCGCCTCGTAGGCGCCCCGCGCTTGGAGGCTATGTCGGGATTGCGTCATGTTGCCGCCCGTGCCGCCTCCTGGGCGCCTCGTGAGTTTACGCGACAGAGCTTTCGCCACATAGCTCACACCACAGAACTTGCACCACACACCCGCCGCCGGGGGTACGCCGAGGATCGGCGCGGCCTTCCTCCGGACTGCTTTCAACGGCTGGTGCACTGCTCGCCGTTTCCAGGGGCGCGCCGGCTGTCT